TGAAGATAGTTACAGAGTAGAAAATATTTAACCAAACTGATAGGGCACATATATAGAACTACAGAAGCTTAAACATAATGTTTAAGATCAACACCATGCCCAAAGTCATGTGGCCACAGCAAAAAAACCCCAACACCCTACAGCTATATGTTATTGTCTATCCAAGCTTCTCCTATATCACTAACCATATAATGGAGCCATGAAGAATTTACTCTACCCTCCAAACCCTTGGCTGTAGGTCGTGCCAAGTTGCAGGGTAGTTTGTAGCAGGCACAGAGTGTCCTTTAGATGCTAGGTACAAGGCACCACAAATTTCCTATTATGTAAAGAGAAGACCATATTCAGGTCCTTGGGAGTGAAAAAAGGCCAGCATACATTATCCAAACTAAAACACTCTGCTGCTATGGAAGCCATTCCTGAATGCTCTGGAAACAATCCCAGTTTCAAAGGAACTGAGTGCTGCTCAAGTACAGCTAAGGGCCAAGTGCTGCTTTCTTATGTGAGTTCAATAAGTAAAAGAAAGCACCATGCCTCTGCAGAACAGAATTTGAATTTACTGTGTATATGGGGGAAGGGTGGTCTCCAAAAGCAAAATAATTAGTTTCTGACTTCAGTAGCTGTAAGGTGTTAATGTCCAGGCTTTCAAAAACCTTCTCACAGAGGTAATATTTGAAATTTAAGTGGAATCCATCAGAGCCAACAGACCAGTCAAAGTTGCAATTTACATGTTTTTTTTTAACACTTTTTACTCTGATCCTTCAGAGGAGTGGTTATCCTTCTATAAAACCCTGAGCAAGAACAAACACCACCTTTGGCACGGACTGTCCTGCCTGGGGACACAGTTCCCTCTTGGCTGAGTAGGTATGCTCTGGGGACAGGACTCATCTGAGCATTGCTCAAGCCAGCCAAATCTGAAGCCCTGACCTACGCTGGGCAGAAATGAACTCTGCCCCTCCACCCCCAGCTGAAATAGATCACTGTGTATTTATTTAACCCATATATTTATTCAACTTCAAGCTGCACACACAAAGTAGTTTTGCTACAACTATACTCCTGCAGGCATACAAAATGTTGTTTATTGATATGTGGAAAGCAGCAGTGGGCTAGATAGTTTGGGGTAGTTATTTTGTACAGTCTTAACAGGGAAACAAAATATAAAAGGAGAGAGCGGCCTCTTCTGCATATCACGTTGAAGATGGGATCTGAAAAGATAAACAAGCTGCAGTTTAACTACAAGAATCAAGCCCATGCAAAATAGTTGCATCTCCAGTTTCCTTGTATTACAGTCAAGGGTTATTATATGCTTTACTGTAATAAATATTAAACTTTCATTCCAAGGGAACTAGGGGAAAAGCCCCAAGACTAACAAAGTACTGAAAGGCTTTCAGCTAAGGTGCCTGTCATGTAGGTACATACATGAGAATATAGAAAACTTTTAGACATGAGGCTGAAACTGTCATTTTCTGGACAACTTAATATTTTTGAGCACAATTTAGCTTCTTTTCTCTCCTTTTAAACAACTTGAATTGAAATGGCTTGTCTACTGTCTTTATCTTTGCCAATTCTGAGAGTTGTGCTGACTTCACTAGCCACTTTGTTCCAGTTTATCCTCTAAAAACTTTCATTACAGTGTTAGTCATAGTTTAAGGTCTGGATTCCAGGTTCCCTGATAGGTGTGACTATTTTTTTCCTCTTTTGTGGCGTGCGTGGATAACATTTAAGATGCGCTAACATTTCATTCCTTTTCACAATTTGGCCAGTTACCATCTTCAAGGAATTGTAATTACTCTACAGGAGGCCCACCTCTTGACAGGGAAGTTATTTGTGCTAAGCTGTTAGGACTGATGAGAAGCAGGCATCTGAGAATGCTGTACATTCCATCTGCAAGAGGATGCACAAAGATAAAAGACTTAATTTCTATTCTATTTGGACATCAGTGAAATTTAGTTTGACAGCTTCCTAGCTTGGCAGGAGAAGAGTATTGCCATGCATTTGTAAGGCTCTTTTGGCAGTGTTACTATGCATTCAATAGCCTGAGTCTAAAAATGGACCCTATACACAGATAAAGCACTGGGATATTTTTTTTTAAAGATTCTTAATACATAAGCAAATGAAAGTCACTGCTACACAGCAAGATTTTAATTTTTTTAAACTCTGGCAAGTCCCATGGAGTAAGTCTCTGGAAACTTGTGACTTTTACAGCAAACTAGCTACAAAAAATAGTTTGAAGAAAGCCTCAAGTTACAGTATGAGTCACTGCCATGGAAAATACTTTTCACTGGAAAACATACAAATTCTTGTTCTAGTTGAGAATTCTCTTTCCCTGCCACACCCCATGAAGTTAAACAGTATGCTAAGAGAGACTTTGTTTTTCTATGCACCAGGCTTTCTAGATGAGGAAATGTTTTCATTTTAATTTTGTTTTATTACTGGTGAGAATAAAGAGAAGGCTTTATCATCACATTGCAGTGTCTATGCTTTTAAAACTTTTTTATGATCTGTATTTTGGAGATATTATACTTCATCCAGCTACCTCTTGCAAGAGGTAATTTTAAAATAAATGTCAAAGTAGTAATTATCAGTAAGACTGTATTTTGGATTCTATAATAGTAGCAATCAGTTACCATTTTAATCAGCAGGTTTGTACTAAGGAAGGTACTAGCAGGCATGTAACAAAGATCTTGATTTCCAAGACAACTGGCTATACATCCTACTAGATCTTACGTTGTATGGATTTCAGTGTGTTCTGTGATGTTGAGTGTGTTTATTATGCTTCCTTAGAAAACATGGTGTACAGAAACAACTTTTCAAGGCTGATTACTGCCTTTCTAGTATTCTGAAAACCTACATTTAGCATAGTGTAATTATTTCCTGATCTTCTAGTGCAGTGATCTTAAATGGTAGTATCTACTTATGCCCTCACCACTAACAAGTGTGAAGTATTCAAAGACAAGTCTCAAGACTAAACAGTTGCCATAGTAACAGCTCAGAGCAAAACACTTGGTAAACTACTCCTCCTGCACTAAATATCTTGCAAAACTTAGCAAGTCTCTCAAGTTCCCCACAACCTGGAACAGATTGGCATCTCAGTCTGAATTATTAATATCTAACCAAGGCTTTGTCCTGGTTTGACTTCAGTGTTTTCTTCTAGTTATGATCTTTGAAACTAATTTGTGTCCTTTACAGACAACAATTCTTGTTAAGGCAGTGCATTTGTTCTGCTCACCTCTCTTTGGAAAACGCTTGCTCAACAGAACAAGCATTTCAGGGCAGCAGCTCTCCTACACTATCCATACAGCACTCAGCAAAACAGATTTTATGATCTTATTTGAAACTTCTTAGAACTGACCACAGCCCTGTGAATCTCCCAATTAGCAACACTGGATTCTGCAGAGGCTCTGCGGGTTAACAGCTTGCCTGACCCTGTCCCAAAGGCTGACATTACATCCAGAGCCTAAAGGAGCTTCAGTAAAGATGCTCACCTTGTTCCAGCTATTCAGCAAAATCCCCAAACAAAATCCATAAATCAGCTCCAGTATTTATTGGAATGCCTTAGTACCTTAATGTTTTAAATATGGATCATGTATAACATTTTCATTTAGATGAAGTTTGGGCAGTAAGCAAGTTAGACTGTGATTATACTACTATCAAACTCTATGTAATCGACACCTAGCACAGAAGGAATCAATATTCCAAGCAATCCTTAGGCTCTTTCGGAACAAGAACATTTTTCTAAATACAGAAAAAAAATCTAGCCTTCCCTATAAGGAAACTGTTTAGCCTTATTTAACCATTTGGTAAGTCTGTTAAACAGCACAATGACAAATTTGTAGCTATTGAAGACTAAGGAATTCCAGACAAACCTAACAAAGCAAGATGAGTAATTGTGCTGGAAAACAAGAACACTCCAAAATTCAATTCACTAACTGCCAAGAGAGGAGATAAAAATATTTATCTCTTCCCACGCAGCATTAGCCAGCTATAACCTAGGGTGGGAAAGAGATCTGTCTATAGACACATCCCAGCATTCTGCTTTAACCTGAACTATCTATGAGCAACCATTAAGGTACTTGACCTGACAGAATACTTCAGTAAACGACTTCTTGTATACATTCAACAACCTGTCCTTAATACTGGAAATATACTTAAACACATACACACATATATGTTTATTTCATTCCAAGCAGAGAAAAGCACAGAATATTGTCTATTTAAAAAAAGTAGTGGATCAGTAAGATCTTGTGTTTTAAATGTAAATACAGCAAATTTAGTATACCACCAGGTATACCTGTATTCATGCACTCAGAATATGGCTATGAAGTAGAGTCTCACATATAGAACTACCTCAACACTACCTTAAGGATTAGGTTGCTCATTAAGCTGCAGTCATACTGTAATAAGGAGGACTGATAGAGAGAGATGCAGTAACATTACTTCCATGCAGATATTAATACCATGCACATGGGCGTATGCAGAGGGTGGAAATAACACACAAGTTGGCCCTGGCTAGTCCAAATGCCATGGGAGCCCCAAAACAATAAGCCACCATAGTGCTGACATGAAGCAGCCAAATTCCATGCTTGCCTATGAGTTTATTTCCTAACAAGATGTAGCTGTTGCAATTCACGCAACAAAGAATACCTCCTAGGATGACCCAGAGAACAGGAGAGAGACTATCACGCAAGAGATTCCCCTCCTCACTCTCTCCAACACGTGTTTATCCAGAAAGCCCAACGCCGAGAGAGGTATGATCTCTCTATAAATAGACAAGGAGCCAACAGCAGCAAGGGAAAACAACTATTTAAGATCAAGGACAAAGCTGGCTACTGCACAAACAATACGATCTGATTATATGAAAAACCTGAAACTGAAAAGATTCACAGCCAGAAGAGCAAGGCATAGATATCCTCCTGCAAGAATATCAGGGTAAAAACACAAAACAGATACGGTTCACTGAGAATTGTGACTAGTTTATTAAAGGACAGCAAAAGTACAGGACACCCGTTCCTTCTCCTTTATTTTCAATTTGTAATTTAAATATATAGCCACTGTTGCACTATTTGTAAAGTTAGGCATGCTCTACAGTAAGAAAAAGAAACCTATGAAAATAAGGTACTCATATCAGCTTTAGCTGTAACACTAACCTATGAAAATAAGGTACTCATATCAGCTCGTCAGCAAGTCTCGTTATCACCGTTAGGCTAATTACCTTTTTTCCTGTAAAACTCTCATATTCCTGTGAAGGTAAATCAGTTTCCATGGTTTATTTCAAGTTACAGATGGTCTGTGGTACAGTTCCATCTGTTGGATGGTCCCTTGGGCACATTTCCATGTCTTACCCTCTAAAACCCCTGGGCCAAAGACACAATCTCAGAATTTTCATCCATGCATGACTTAAAAAAGCAAAGCCACCAATACAACCCCAGGATAAACAGAGCTCTGCTGAAGTGATGATACCTTATAGCACTAGTTCTTATTTCCCCCACTTACAAAGGACAATAAACAGTGTCACGGTAGCTAAGACAACGCGTGGGGTTGCACTGGTCCAACTCTTGCATGTAAAGCTGCTTCTTTTGCAATTAAGGTTACCATCATGATGTGTGTATACAGTTTTAGGCAAGGTAATGTGTACAACAGGTTATTTGGTGACTGGGCACTGAGATTAGCATCACCCTTGGACCTCAGGAATTGGAGAACTGCGGCAAGGATAGCATGAAAAAAATGTCATCTTATGCAGTAAGAAGCTCATTAACATGAAATCGTTAAGTCAGTTGAGGAGGATAAATCCTGATAGGCAGAAAAAAAGCAGCAAAAACCAGAAGATAGGAAAGTTTCGTAATGCAGAATAGTTCCTTCCACTGATCAGCCAAAGCAGCACCACCCAGGAAATCAGATTCATTCACCTCCAAGTCAGCTGAGCCAACAAGTAAGAATCATCTGTCTATATACAGACAGTGGTGAACTTTGAAGTTACGTGTGCAAAGTTTTTCAAAATCCCTATGTAAGTGAAAGCCAGCCTAAATCTAGTCTGGAATTAAAGAAGGTGTTAAAGCCTTTCAGAACTGAGGAATCCATTGAGACTTCTTGAAGGCAATTTGAGTGAGCATAAACAAAAGGTTAGGCTGTTTCCCAGCTCTGATTCATTTGGTTTCATTGATAACAGACTTATTGGACAGTTGGTTAACATGAAAAGGCTTTACAAAGTTTTAAAACCACTTCATAGCTTTACGCCCACAGCAAATGCTGCCTAACAAACGTGGAATCACTTCCATGCTACTAAGCAGGTAGGAACTCAATAAGCTTATTCATACTTGCACATAGGTTATTTTCACCAATCTGTTCTCTGAAACTGACCTATTAATGAAAACATCCATCAGGAACCACATGAAAAGCAGTGTAACCAGTTTTAAACCCTCCATAGAACCTGATAAAATTATTTACAAAGATTCATTATTTTAAGTAGGAACGGCCAGAGTACTTTTCACCAGTCATCTGTATTCAGCCATCTCATTTCCTGTACCCCATTTGGTTTGTTTTAGTTCTTCAGGCAGCTGTCAGTGCAGTGAACAAGAGCAGCTGTGGTTTCCTGTTAGTGCTGGCCACTAGCACGCAAGTCAGCGCGTAAGCAAGGGAAAGAGTGATCTGACCCACAGTGTTACTTCAGCTACCATGCAGCATCAGTCCAGTCACATAAATACTAAGTTTAGATCATAAACAACTTGAGTTCCAACACACAAGAAAATTGCTTATCTCCATGTTCTCAACGGGATGGGGAAGCTTCTAACGAATTTTCCTTTCCAGCAAAAGGTTACATTGCAGAAAACGGACTTGCGTGCTGGACATACTGCAAGGCCTACCTCTCAACTGGGTATATGCATGACCGTTTCATAAAGATTCCTAAAGCACAGAAGAGAAGTGCACCAAAAGTAAAAGAATCACCACCTTCTTGAACTGCAAAGGTTTGCAACCCACAAAGCAGAATTAAGGATCCATTTCTACAACAATTAAATAGGTAAGCACCACATGATGCAACAAGAAATGTTATTTTGGGGTTCTCACAAGGAGGTGGAAAAAGGCCACAAGTTATAAACTGAAAAGAAAGCATGTTTCAGTACTTTGTGGCAGTTTTCCTGAAAAGCTCTCCTCTTGACCCAATGAAGAATGACCTGCACTACCATGTAGTGACAACTTTGTGCAACGCAATCAAGTTAACTTGTTTCTATACCTGTTTTGGGGGGAGAGAGGAGAGAATGATAAGCCATTAAATAAACTCCTATTTATATTAACTATGCTTTAGATTCTTAGAACTAGAATATTGAGAGCATTGTATTTCTTGAACATAAATCTGACAGTCAAGTTTCCCATAAAGGTATAGAAGTTTGCCTATGCAAAAAATGTAAGACTGCTCTTGAATTTGCCCTCATCCAACCCAACCCTTGTGGTCTGCCATTCCATTTCTGCATCAGGCCACAGTCATCCATCCAGTCAGGAGCCTTATTTTCAAATCAGGCCTCTTCTGGAATTCACTCTGCTGAATTATTTCTACTTGCAGGCAACAGAGAAGACGGCAGAGAAGGAGGCACAGAAGGACTAGTAGTCAAGGAACTGCTGCATTTCTACTGGAAGGTACTATCTGCAGGCACATGTTAGTTTTAAACTTGCTTCGTAAAGATCAACTTTGCATTAAGAAGTTTGGCACTTTCCAGATTTGGGCTAGACTACTAAGCAGGGGTTGAGGTTTCATCCTAGAAGAGAAAGAGTAGACAAAGAAATTGAAGATGACATCTGTGATAAAAGGAACACAATCTAACTGCTATAATATTAAGCTAAAAACATTTAGTAGAAACAGAAGGTGCTCCTAAAATGAAGATAATTCAAATGTTTTAGTCTCTGTTTCCTCAAGTAATTGAGCTGTCTCCAGGTTAAGAACATTTAAATCAAGATATTTTTTTAAAATGTGATTTACAGTATAAATTCTTCATTAGTTCATGGTTAAATCTGTAAATGACCTTATAAACAAAAACAGTATACAGAAGTAACGTATAAGGTATAAAGTACTTTGATATGGGTATATAAGAAATGAGGAACAAAATTGAAGGAAGACAGCCTTTAAAAGACCTAAAACATTTGTTTTACTGCATTCCATACTTGAATCTTAAAGTGCACTTTGATAATTTGTCTAATCTGCATACAGAACAGTACTGAATATTCTTTAAACAGTATCTTATCCTTCAGCTTACTAGTAATTAGTAAATGGGCATACCATATACTTCTTTCACAAATGTACTTAAAGACAGAAAGCCAAATTTTATCACAATTAATATAACATGTAAACCTCAAGAAATACAGGAGATGAGCATTTAAAGTACAATGCTCCTTGAAAGAATGAGTGATGACAAAGCATTCCTACCTGCTAGTGATTACCTAGCAGTAACTAAAGGCTGTCTCTTTCTTAGTAAAAAATACAGATCCTTTTAAAAAAAATGGTACGGGGAACCTTATTTTATCGAACTTTATTTTTCCCTAAGTGTAAAGTTTAAGTTCACAGTTGTGCATCTGAAAAGATCTGGACGCTGTGTTCCTCCTACTGCTCTGCAAACCTTCCAGATGCCAACTCACCCCTCTTTTAAAAGGTGGCCTTGTGTCCCTTTGGTGTTTCTTGCTGGTGTGAATTACTTGCATTGCACTCTGGACTCCACCAAGTGTGAAACACTCACTTCAGCAAGTTTTCCTGTATCATACTATTATGGAGTTTGAGTTTTATTTCACTGGGTTTTGCATTTTTCCTCCCTCTGGAATCTACTACAATTCTAGTTTTAAAAAATCACTTCTAGACAAAAGCTCATGTTGTTGGTGCATTTCCAGTAGATCAAGTGTATCGTAAAGGCAGAAATAGCTTTATCACCCCTGTTCTTTGCAGTTTAAGTAGAAATGTTCTAAAATGTTCTACTTCCTCCCACCTTTTTTCACAGCAGTTTTGAAGCAGTCAATCTATGCTTATCACACGTCCCCCATTTAAATTTACTACAAAGCCAGATCTGTCATCTGATAGTGAGCAAATTCCTAGAGAGCATTAGAAGGTGAAATCCATTTATGATCACTACGCTGAAAAGAGTGGAAAGGAAATATCATTTGCAATTCCTTCCCTAAACCCAGGGGGGTGGGGTGCAGCACAGGAAGAAAAGGACGAACTGTTGAGAGATAGTATTTTCTTTAGCTGTCATTTCCAACTGCCTTGAAATTTACAGTTGTAACTTTCCATAAATATTCCAGTGTTTGCTCCAGTGTCAGTGCAAACAGGCATAAGAAATACTACTGAAAATCAATAAATTCTGGTGAGGATTTAGATATGTATGTATCAGAACAAAAGGTATCCAATCATCCAACTGTTTTTTGTTCACGTACAGAGTATTTTATAATTCTTTGCTGTGAAAACAATTCTTTCAGTTCTGAACAATACTAATGTGAAATATTATAAGTTATCATATGTTAAATACTATCTTGTTACTTCATTTGCCACTGAACTGTATTCTGTTATGCAAGTGGAGATCTTAACAGTAACAGGCTCTAAGAAAAGGAGTTCTTGTAAGCAGCCGCAAAAAGTAACTCTAAGCAGAGACAAAACAGAAGTGTAATACCCATCGGTATTTTAAAAGAAATTATAGAAACGGCAGAGAAAGAGTAGCTCCACACAGAGTAAGCTTCAGTCATGCCCAACTTCAGCTACAACTAAGTCTGATGCTGGTAACTCTTGTTCCAAGTAATCACCAGAAATTATTTTGAGTCAACCTCCTTTGGGTAAGAATTAAACATGCCACAGGACGCTCACTACACATTTGATTTTGGAAATTTAGGAACCACATTAACAGGACAGACTATTAGTGCTGCAAAGAGAAAAATTCCCATGTCATATATACACACCAGCTGACTGATTACCAAGAACGCATTTACCTAAGAACACCCTTCCTACTCTATTCTAGGAGTCAGAGGTCTTCATCAATAAGAAATCAGAGAGAAAACTTTGCTTTCTGCAACCATGAGAATTTACCACAAAGTTGGTCAACGCTGAATTAAAAAAACCCAACATATAGACTACAGAAGCTCTGGTCTGAGACACAGTCCTGAAAAGACGCCAGTACTTCCTTGTCCACAAGCACCAGAGCTCCTGAATAAGTTATGCGGAAAGACAGCTGTATTTGTTTTTCAAGGAAATGCCATCTACCCCGGACTAAAAAGGAGCTCGATTCCTCTGGGATCAGAGCTGATCCCACGTGAGCTCAGCTTCGATCAGAGCGATCCAGCGGGATTCTCCCTCCGTGCCATTGGCCTCGCCCGTGACAAGTCAGCTTTCCCTCAGAAAAACCACGTCAGGCTCTTCTTGTGTATCCAGCCGGTAACTGGGGAAACCCCAATAGTCTGGGTGAGTATTCGGGATTCCCAAGCACAGCAGAGGGACGGCTTCTCCAGCCTCCGCTCCAGAGCGAACGCTTGGGAGCAGGGTGTTTTCCAACACACGCTACCGAGAGGCCTGAGCCCCGGCGGGTCGCTGGGCGGGCTGCCCTCCCGCCCTCCCAACGCCAGGCCGGCGGGCGACGGCCGCCGTGAGCCCCCGGCACCTCGGCTGAGGGGGAGGTCAGTGTGGGGAGTCCTGAGGGGCGGCTAAGGAAGGAGGAACCGCTCTGTCCCCGGCTCCCACCTTCCCGTCAGACACGGCGGGGAGCCAAGCGTGCCCCCCCCACCCCCGGTACCTCAGGGGAGCGCCCGCCGGGCGGCGGGAGAGGGCCGGGGAAGGGCGGGCCGGGCATGGCCGCCGCGGGCCCGGGCGGGGTGTGTGTGTGTGTTGGGGGGGGACACACAGGGCGGCGGGTCTCACCTCCCTTGCAGGGGGTGCGGTGCTGGCTGTGCTGCGCCCGGTAGCCCTCGATCACCTCCCACTCGCCGTTGTCGCGCTTGATGGGGAAGGAGACGCTGAGCACATGGTTGCAGGGTTTGATGATGCGGAGGATGCCGCGGACGCGGTGGCGCCGGTCCTCCATGCTCTCCCGGGTGCGCAGCCCCTCCACCAGCTTGTCCTCCACGATGCTGGCGCCGCGGTCGAAGAACCCCTCCACCATCTTGAAGAAGTTGGGGTCGTCCTCCTTCTTGGCCGCCTCGCAGTAGTGCCGCCGCGGGCACCGGCCCCCGCCCCATGCCGCCGCCGCCGCCGCTCCCCCGGCTGCTGCCGCCGGCCCGCCCGGCTCCGCGCCCGCCAGCACCGATCCGGCGGCCAGGCGGGACGCCAGCAGTTCCCCCAAGTAGCGGTACATGGCGGCGGCTCCCGGCGCTTCCGCTAGACGGGAG